AATTGTGTTACAAAGATGTATAGTTCCTGTTCATTTTAACAATCTGACTATTATATGATTGAATGTGCCAATGATGGGATTTTAACATTTGTATACAATTAAAACATTTTTTATTCCTCCAGAAATATATATTTTTAATCACCAAATGGTTTCTCGGTTAAAGCCAAAGCAGAAACACTCCCTGGCAGTAGGTAGGCTCAGGTTTGCCTGGCAACCTGGTGTCCCAGCCACCCACGTTGCTGTGGTAACCAATGAGGATGTGGCACTGCCATGAGGAAGTGGTCACCATGGACATGAGCCAAAGGGCAGCTGGTGTGTGTGTGTGTGTGTGTGTGTGTGTGTGTGTGTGTGTGTGTGTGTGTGTGTGTGTGTGCATCTAAACACGCCTGAAAGTAAAGGTAGGAGTGGGCTGACCCCCCCTTAATGCATGACTGTTTCCTTCAGAGCTGCAGGGTGGGGGATGGAGNGTGTGTGTGTGTGTGTGTGTGTGTGTGTGTGTGTGTGTGTGGTTGCTCATTTGAATACAGCGTCCTGAATCTGTCGAGAAGCCGTATGCTCTTTTTTTTTCAGCCCATAAACACGAAACAATCAGCGCTTTTGTTTTAACGCTGTTGTTCTGTTTCATTAGTTTGTCCCGCTCACCCCCACTACCACCACCACCTGCAAGCCCTTTTATTCCAAACATGCAATTACACACATGCACTTTCAAAACTTTGCCTTTTTTTTTAAAACAGCTTAACTTTTTTCTCACCTTTTTAATAGCTTATTTTTCAGTTCCTACTTGTCCAGTCAGGTAAATGAATCCATTTATTTAAACATCTTATCTGTATCAAAGAGGCTTTCAGCAGCTAAGAGTGAAAACAACATACTGTATCTAGATTTGTTTTGATGGAGAGGGACACAAAGGTTTAGGTCATGGTGTGTGTGTTGGGGGATGGGGCCTTAGAGTGTGTTGGGAGTGTGTGAGAGGGAAAGTGGGCATTCAACCCCCCCCCCCCCCCCCCACACACACACACAGATCTAACCCGGGGCCGATTAAGGCCAGAAACTCTAATTATGCTCCAGAAAACGTGCCAGACTGTGGCACCCATCTGTGCCTGAAGTTTTCATTACAAAGACATCCATTTGTGCTTCCATCCATCCAGGATTATACACAAATAAACAAAAAACACAAAGTTACAGCTGAACAAAATGACCATCGTCAATTACATGATTGTCACAAAAGTTTTGGATCTGATTGTTCGAGAACAGTCGAATGATGACAAACCATTCGTCTGGGTTTTATGGGAACTGATCTTGAACAAGTCACTGCTTCATGCTCACACTGGGTTCCATGGTGACCACATTGCTTCTCACATCCCTTCACGCCCTCAAGTCAAGTTATGAATCACAAGTCGTGTTTCCATCCAATTCTAATTCGAATTTTGAGCGAATTTTTTAAATTTTGCACAAAGGAAAGAACGAATAAATGCAAATCAGACGTGTTTCCATCAACCGGCTTGAAGCGAATCAATTACGTCAGAGGCATGCGTGTAGTAAACAGGAAGTAAAAGTCGCATCTCAGGACAATGGAGAGAAGTTATCAGGAACGTGTTGCTACTATCAGGAAAGTTATAATTATTCTGTCATATCAACTCATTCTGGTGATGTTACTGCTGTCTGGAGACGTAGAGAAAGAAATGCAATTTTTTTTTCACGTTACGGGAATGAGAAAATGCCGACAGCGGGAGGAGGGTCCAGCTGCAGTCGCAACTGCAGTTGCTCTGGTACCGGGACCGGTACCGTTCAGACAGCGGGAACAGCTGGTCTAACACATTCTCACTCCCGACTCGTCAACATATTGACGCTTTTCCAAAGTTCCCTCTGCGTCTTATTTTGATGCGTCGGGTAACCCCCTCGCATCAGTCCTTGCCGCCCGCGGCTTTTCTGGGTTGCGCCACCAGGGGTCTTTGGGTCGGGGGTCTGAGGTTAACATGGGGGATCAGGATAAATGGTTAAGTTTAGGTACTGGGGTCAGGGATAGGATGTCTACAGCGAATATTGGGTAATTTTAGGCTTTGGAACACGTAGTTGACGTGAATTTCCTATATTTCCTAAAAATGGTTAATTTTAGGTCCTAGGGTCAGGGACAGGATGTCTAAAGTGAATGAAGGTAATTTTAGGATTTGGGACGGTAGTTTTTGTGCATTTTCTACACTTTCAGAAATTATGAAAACAAATTCCGCCCAACTCATCAAAAAATGACGTAAGGGGAGTACCCGACACAATCAAAAATGGATGCAGAGGGAACTTTGGAAAAGCGTCAATATGTAACGACTCGGGAGTGAGAATAGGTTGGCTGATCAACAATGTGAGGTAAATGTTCACTACGTCAGAACTTATTCAGCAAATGTGTTTCCATCTCTCCTTTTGCACATTAACTCTTTTTCAAAAAACAAAAACCACCGAGCATATCAACTTTTATGCGAATTAGAGGAATTTTTTCGAATCGTGCTGTTTCCATTCACCTTTTCTGATGCAATACTTCAAGATGTACATTAAAAAACCTTGATGGAAACACGCTACATTTTTCCTTCTTATGCCCATGCAGTTGTGTACAAGTGCAGTGAAGATCCTGTGCATAAAAATACTAACCTTTTTAGAACTAGCTTTAAGCATTTTGTTTGACAGAAAATGCTTTTAAACCAGATTCACCACTTAAGCTCTGATGACATCAGACTTGTTTCAGATGTTTAACCATAGAGGACCAGAAAAAGACAAGAGTAAATGGGACTGAGGATCCTGAAAAATTGTCATTTTTTGCCAAAAGTTGCTAAAACACAACCTTTTAAAAACGAAAATATCAAAGGTCGCACCTCTGATTTAACCACTAAACAGGTGACAACCTTAACAATAATGGCTAATTACATGCTTTTTTGGACTCAACTCAAGCTCACTGCAGCAAAACTTTCACATGCAGTATTACCTCAATAGCCTAAATGCCTAAATGCCACGGCCATTGATGACGTATTTCCGTTAAAATTCTGCCCACGCACCGCCCTTCCATTTTCTGCCTACTGCCTTTTGTTTTTAGCGTAAGCTCCTAGAACTAGTCCATATGTAAAAGTCACAAAAGTTAAAGCCTCTGTAAGCTACTCATATAAAATGTGAGTTCTGCTGTGTGCTGTTGTGTCCACTGACCAGTAGGTACAAGAGAGTACTTAGTTTTTCTCTATTTTCCTCTTGATGAGGAAGAAAAGCGACAGCAATGGATCATAGCATTACAGGGAAAACTTAGCTATAAAAGCTCACGCTCGCGTTTGTAATCAGCATTTCTAACCTGAGGATTTTCAAGAGTCAGCATCAGAAATGAGAAGACGGAGGTTACAAAAGGGAAAAGTACAATTACCCCCCTTTTACTGCCAAGACGAGAGAGGAAAGACCTCCAGAGGACAGCTAGCAGGAAGCTAACACAGATGCCAGTAAAGAGACGTTCTAAGGATCACGATTATGCTGCTTCTCCAGACTCTGCAGTTGTGGATTTAGTGCTGAAGGTAAATTATATTATCCGGTAGGAAATCCACCAGCTACAGGAACAGTTTAAGGGCCTGACGCTGAGGCAGCTGTTCGTCATTCATCGTTTTGCTGCTTCCAACCAGATCCTTCACAAGGTAGGTGTGTGTGTGTGTGTGTGTGTGTGTGTGTGTGTGTGTGTGTGTGTGTGTGTGTGTGTGTGTGTGTGTGTGTGT